TCGAACCCGGTTCGTCACATTGGGAGGCGAACGCTCTTTCTCCTGAGCCATCACGGCTCCAATAACAATTATTGAAGTCTGGTCATGGCGTGTCTTAATATCGATTACTTCTATTTTCTATATTGATAAATAGTTTTGAGATAAATCACTTTTTTTGATCATAATTAATACGATTTTATAACAATAATAAGCAATCAGGTAAAATGAATTTTATTTTCTTGAAATGGTTGAAAAAATTAAACAAAAAATCCTTACGCAATTTTAGCTACGTTTGAACTATAAAATAAAAACAATAGTTATAACTTCTTGTTGTTGATATTAAGGCCGGGGTATTGTAACGATGCGTGCATATCTACCCTTTTCTCACTAATCTTTTCTGTATAATTAATTCCTTATCGGTTCACATACGAATTTTATTCGTGGAACTCGAGCTTCATTAATCTTTTACAATTCCTTCGTGTATTCTTGTAAATTTTGTGGTTGACTTAACAATCTATACTGCTATATGATAACAAAAATAAACGGTTTTGGAGAAAAGTCTAATCATAACATCAAATAAATACTTTTTTAAGGAATATAAATTATGGCAAAATCATATGTTTCTAGTTGCGCACTTTATAAAATTAGTAAATTGGACAATGTTTAACTTTTTTTTTGTGTGTATAGAAGATAGGAACTTAAGCATTAAAAATGGTTAGGCTTTTATTTACAATAATGCATAAAATTATCAACAATAGCTATGTAATCAATGATTCTACAATGTTACTTATTTAATTATTAGGTAAATGTTCGTTTAAATTGGGTTGTTATGAGACATGTTGGGATATATTTAATAAAAACCACATTTCCTTTAAAATATCACGATTGGATGCCTGCAAGTGATGTCATCACAGGTATATCATGGCATTTGTTGATTCAGAAGCCAATCAAGTTTGACTTACACGCATGACGTTGCTTGAGGGTATCCAATTGAATTTAATTTAAATCACATGGTTAGACACAATAGCTTAACTTCTGGAGTTAAAAATGACAAATTAAAAAACGGAACAAACATGTGGTAATAAAAATAGATAGTAACAAGTTTTTATGAAGTTTGTGATAAATTAAATATGATAATATTAGACACTTATCATTGCCTTTATCGGTTTCTTTCAACTACTGAATGGTCACCATTAAATCAAACTATCTGCCTTACGTTGCTAACGGAAACTATAAAATATAGCCAGATTGATAGTTCCACATAAAAGAAATAATTGTGCATAACTTAAAAACTACTTTGATTTTATAGTCTTGAGGTAAGCGAAGATAGCTCCTTCGAGATACTAATATTTTATTAAGCATATTTACATTTATTTACAAGAAGCATCATCACAGCAGGTGATGAGAGAAATACTGACAGGCTGTCACGTGCGTGCTGGCATTTATACAATTCTAAGAATATGACGTCAGAACTCTTATTTCAGTTCACTTCAAAAATAAGTAAAAACACAATTGATTAAAGACAAACAGATAACAATATGAAATAAACTTGATTTTACGATGAGCGGCGATCCCATAATGATTGTTTCAAAACAATCATAAAATACAAAGTAGTTAATTGAAATATATGTCTTAATTGGGAAAAAAATTTAACTTGGAAATTGGAATACAATTAATAGATACAAAATATTTAGATGCTTTTATATTTTATACTCTTTTGGGAAATGCACACGGTGGCCAGATTTTGCAATTGGCTTTTCTTCCTTTGTTGGAGACGATTGCTTTTCGATCATTGGAATTTTATTTATTTTTAATTTTTCAGAAATTTGAAAAGCTGGTTTTATTCTATCTATTGAGACAGTTATTTTCTTACCATGAAAATCAATAATAAAGGTTTTATCAGAACGTTCAATTACCCGGTGTGGTCCGGTGTATGCAGGTGATAGTGGAGGACGAATTTTATCTACTTTTAAAAATATATGAGAACAAGATTTTAAATTAGGATTAATATAGAACTTATTTTTACTGTGTGCTGATGCTGGTACAGGACTTAATTTTCTCATTGCGGCCATTAAATTTGTAACATAATTTTCTGTTACTGGTGGAGATAAAGAATTTGCGTTTAAAAGATCCGAAGGTAGACGTAAGGAAGTACCATAAACAAGTTGTGCATAAGTTGCATTGATATCAGCTTTTAAAGCTGTGCGAATACCTAATAAAACAATTGGTAAAATTTCGGTCCATCTATTATTTTCCTGTGCTATTATAGAACTTTTGAGTTGTCTATGAAATCGTTCTATCATTCCATTACTTTGCGCGTGATATGAAGTAGTATGGAAGTGGTTACTGCCTAAGATATTAGTGAGATTTCGAAAAAGAGTTGATTCAAAATTTCGGCCTTGATCGGTAGTTATTGTAACGGGTGTGCCAAATCTAGAGATCCAACCGTGAATAAGTGCTTTTGCGGTGGTCTCGGCAGTCATATCCGTAGTAGGGATAACTTCTGGCCATCTCGTGAATCTATATATTATTGTAAGGCAGTATTGCTTACCTTCAGAAATAGGAAGTGGGCCAATAAAATCCAGATGGATATGGGAAAATCTTGCGTCGGGTTGAGCAAATGTACTAAAAGGAGCTTTAGTGTGTTAAAAAACTTTAGCTCTCTGACATTTCTCTCAAGAACGAACTTTATTTTTGGTATCCACTTTTATGTTTGGCCACACAAATCGTTTAGAAATTAAATTCGTAGTTGAATATATTCCAGGATGAGAAAAATAATGTAAATTATCAAAAATAATTTGCCTGTATGATTTTGGAATAAAAGGTCTAGGGTACTTAGTTGAAAAATCACATATTAAATTAACATCTTCCAAAGAAAAGTAATGTTTTTCTAATTTTAAAGATGGATTATTTGAATTTAATATTTCGCTCAGTTCTGAATATTCATTTTGTTCTTGTTCTAGTTTTTTAAAGTCTATTAATGGAGGTTTTGAAATTGCATTTATTTCTATTCGCGATAGAGCATCAGCAACTGAATTAGATTTTCCTTTTACATGTTTAATATCAGTTGAAAATTGAGAAATATAATCAAGATATCTGAATTGGCGAGGGGAACATTTTTCAGGTTTTTGTTTAAACGCATAAATCAGAGGTTTTTGGTCAATAAAAATAGTAAAACTTCTACCTTCAAGCATGTGGCGAAATTTTTTTATTGACGCGTATATTGCCAATAATTCGCTATCGTATGTTGACCAATTTTGCTGACTTTTATTTAATTTTGTTGAGAAAAATGCAATTGGTTCCCACTCATTATTTTGATATTGCATTAAAGAACTGCCGATTGCAAAATCAGACGCGTCAGTCCACAGACTTAAATTAGCACCAGGTTTAGGATATTTTAATAGAGTTGCATCGGCTATTGCTTGTTTTGCATCAGAAAAAGATTTGTTTGAAGTATCGGTCCAAATTAACGGTAAATCAGATTTTTTTGATGATTTGTTAGATTTCTTAATATTTCGTTGTCCTTCTAAAAACTTGGTTAAAGGTGATAAAATATGAGCTGCATTAGGAATAAAGCGTCGATAAAAATTAAATAATCCTAGAAATCTACGTAATTGAGTAATCGTATTTGGTTTTGGAAAATTTAGAATTGCATTAACGCGATCACTTAAAGGTTCAATACCTTTTTCGGAAATTTTAAAACCTAAAAATTGTAAACTATTCTGACCAAATAAGCATTTAGAGGGATTTATTGTTAAACCAAAATACTGCAGTCTATCAAAAAGTGATTTTAAATATTTTATATGCTCTTCGGGAGATTCGGAAGCTATTAATATATCATCTATGAAAGCGTAAACGCCTTCCAAGCCTCTAGTTACTTCGTCAATAAAGCGTTGGAAAGTACTGGCTGCATTGCAAAGTCCGAATTGCATACGAGTACTTTCGAATAATCCGAAAGGAGTTATTATTGCAGTTTTATGTACATCTTCATGGGCTATAGGTATTTGATGGAAAGCTCGAATTAAATCAATGTGAGAAAATATTTTAGTTCCATGTAGTTCACTAGTAAAATCCATAATATTAGGAATTGGATATTTATCTTTAACAGTTTGAGCGTTTAAAGCTCGATAATCACCTACTGGACGCCAGTCCAAACTATTTTTCTTGGGAACTAAATGTAAAGGTGATGAAAAATTACTTTTGGATGGGCGCATGTGGCCTAAATCTAACATATGTTGAAATTCCATTTTTGCTATTTTTAGCCTATCGGGCGCTAGACGCCGAGGTTTAGCAAAAACTGGTGAACCAAAAGTTTCTATATGATGTACAACATTATGCTTAACAATTTGGTCTGAGCAAATAGGTTTCGTTATTTCAGGATATTCGTTTAACAATTTTTCATAAAAATTTTCACCAAGAACAGTTTTAATTGAAATAATGTCAGAATTTTTAAAAATACAATGAGAATTTAAATTAGTAGTAATATCATTTAAGCAACGTTTTCTAATATTAGGTTTAAGATTAAAATAGTATAAAAAATCTGCACCTATAATATGATTAGTTATATCACAAATATAAAATGGAAAATTAAACTTTCGTCTAAGACCGAAGTCTAAAGTTAACAATTTCTTACCGTATACTTTTATGATGGTATTGTTCGCAGCTTTAAAAGTCTGAATAGGAGAAAGAGTTTTTTCTTTTTTATTTGCTGGAATAATTGAGCAGTCACTTCCGGTATCCACTAGAAATTGTTTGTTGGATTGTCTGTCTCTAACAAAAAGGCGACAATTTGTTGGAGGCAAGATGTTAGTCGCATTCACTCTTGCCTTTCTTGGTTTTTCTGGTAGATGCAGGGTTTGACACACTTTCTAGCATCAGATTTAAATTTCCGATGATAGAAGCACATTTTGGAGTTTCGATGTGGAGAGGAGGATTGACTTTGACGATTACGAAACTGTGCATAATTCCGGTTGCGAGACCTGCTGCGTGTCTGCAATGCAGCTACTTCTTCTCGTAGTGCTTTAACTTCTTGTGCATTGTTGGTTTGAAGAAACTTCGCTAGCTTCACTTGAAGTTGACACTTCCATTACTTTATCAGCGATTTCAGCAGCTCTTGTTGAATTTAGTGAAGGGATTGTGGCCAATATCGACTGAACATGCTGCGGTAGCTGATTTAGAAATAGTTCCAAAAGTAGCGAATCTGAGATTTTGTGGGATTCAGCTCTTCTCTGCATAGTGCGCAAGAGTTCACTAGGCTTTCTATCTCCTAGTTGCTCTCCGGATAGTAAACGTCGAATTTCCTGGGACTTTGTTTCCCCGCAGCATGCAATAATTTCTTCTTTCAGCTTTTTGAAAGGATCTTCTGCGTTAGGAGTTATAATGACGTCCCTTACAACTGCGGCTACTTCAGGAAGAAGATGGGCGAGGCAGTAGTTAAACTTTGTTTTGCTCTCTGAAATTGGCTTCGGTGTCGCAAGCTGGAAAGTTGCTTCGACCATATGGAACCACAGGTGTGGATCAGAAATATTGAAGATGGGAATTTTTACTGCAGATGATTCCGCCATAGATGCAGTTTCTTATTAATTCGATGATGAAAAATGAAAATTGCTTGTATCGTCCGACATCCGGGTCACCATTGAGGTAAGCGAAGACAGCTCCTTCGAGATACTAATATTTTATTAAGCATATTTACATTTATATACAAGTTGGTTTGATTTACAAGAAGCATCATCACAGCAGGTGATGGGCGAAATACTGACAGGCTGTCATGTGCGTGCTGGCATTTATACAATTCTAAGAATATGACGTCAGAACTCTTATTTCAGTTCACTTCAAAAATAAGTAAAAACACAATTGATTAAAGACAAACAGATAACAATATGAAATAAACTTGATTTTACGATGAGCGGCGAACCCATCACCACACAATTATAGCTATGATAGAATTCGATGAATGGATGGCACTAGTTGATTCATTGCTGTTTTGTGCGACGCCGGGAGAGCTGTATTAAGATCATCGTATTTTTTTGAGTGCTGAATGTGAGAAGTGTATTAACTTCACGGTCGTAGTCGCTCCTGTGTAGCCGTTAGCAGTCGAGTGTATGCAAGCCAACGTTGCGTGTGATCGAGATGAGACTGAGTAGCAACTGCGTGAGGAGGTGGATAATGATGCAGTCACAAGTAGCAAGTCAACTGTTCAATGTGGACCATCCAACGAAGTAAGCGTTACTGTCGATGTAGGCGTATCCAGATCAAAGTGGGCGTTTTTGACAAGGTAGGCGTGTTCACATCACGTCCGAAGGTCACCAATGTGGGGAGAGTAGTTACAGACCAGGGGTACCTTTTCATAGATGACGGTTGACATGGTCTGTAACTACTCTCCCCACAGTCTTCTTACTTATGATTTTAATTTTATTTTATTTTATTCAAGATATACTTCATAAAAAACATATTTCCCCCCTTAATTCTTATTTTAAAGCATGTTTTTGCTTGCTTCACTGTAGATTTAACTTTACAAAGAATGGTTCAGTTTATAGATATGCATATATGCAATCAATATTTGATTATAATTAACGTTTTCCCTTAGTATAGTAAAACAAAAGATTTCTTGAATAATATCCAATTATCAAATTTAATACAGGATATGATTTATTTAAAGTTGTTTAAACGATACTACTTCTTAAATATATTTGATATTTTATAAAGTTGCAATGAATCCTTTCAATTCTGAAAACCACTTATTTTAAAGTTGTTATTCACTTTTCAAATGTTCATAACACTTAAAAATTTTAAAAATATCAAGTAATAAAACCAATAATAAAAACAGCAAATTACTTTGTAGTTGGAAAGATGACATAGAATGCCCGAAGCATACTCCCATTTGATGCTTAAAATGTAAACAAGCATTATTAATAAAATAAATTCTATGCAATAAATAATATGACCCATAATAAAGATTGTGTTAAAGAGTAGATTCATGGAAAAGCTTTTTCCAGACATAGAGTCTGCTAAAAAGCATCGGGAAATACAAAATATAGTAGGGGAGAGTGGGGTCAATTATAAAATTTTTTACTTAACTATTTTTAACTAATAAGAAATCCAATATATTATTAGTATTAATTGACTGACGAGTAAAGTAGACTATCCTCTACTAGAAAAAAAATAAAAACCTTATTTTAAATGTTATTATATTAGTTATTCACAGTTTTTGACAGTCGTGCACTTGTCACAATTATCCCTACTTACGGGGTCAATTGTAACAGTTCATAAATTCGACTAAAACATTGTAAATTAACATATTATCATAGTTGTGTTATATTTTTCTATTGATAAAAATAGTAGTGATATTTTAGGAGTAAAAATAATAATGAGCAGAGACCTAAAGGGTTAAACTTTTAACTTTAAGGGGTTAAAAATTTTAATTTATGCTATGAAAGGTGACAAATAAAATAATGCACATGTAACATAATATAAATGATATAGGAAACTAGTGGTGATTCTTAAAGAGTTAAGTAATGGTTTGTAAACATAAGATTATTTATTTTCAGCTGTTGCAATCGTCCCCAAGACGCCATTTCAGCTTCATTTGTTAAAAACAATGCCAGTTAATTAGCAAAACTAATCTTTTTCTTGAACTGTTAATTAAGGTGTCCACTTACATATTCGGTTAATAATTTTTATTTGTTTCAACAAAATTACTTTGTTACAATATAATATTCTAATACCAAAAAAGTACTTACGTAGCGTGAAAATATATTTTGTGATGTAACTCTTTCAAAAATACATAAAAATGGTTGCCAGCAGGGGTGTACATGTAGATTTATTAAATACACCTTGTGCGCCACCTAGGAACCAAATCTAGAAACCGACACTCGAAATTTTTACTCTATAATAATCGTACCCTCTTACAATTAACCCCCCTCTTCCCTACAGATCACAATCAATAATTTTTGACTTAATGATCGGATCTCCACTCTCTGGGACTCAAATTAGCAAGTGCTGATGATATTTTAAGTTATGAACCTATAGACAAAAATATATATTCTCAGAATAAACATATATTTATTTTGTTGACGGATTCGGAGTTTACAGCCCTAATATAAAGGGGTTAGAGGAACCCAGAGTAATGGATGGTAAAATTAAATTTTGAAAAAAGTCTTATTTTTAAGCTTCCATTCTTATTTTAAGATCGATTTCTCATGAACCATTCAATTGATTTCATTTGAAGTGCCATGTGCCGTATTTCGTTTGTATTGCCATATAAAATTACATATTTTAAAATGGTGTAAAAAATTAAATACTATACAATTCAATTTTTTTGACTATCATTAAAATTAAATAAATATTTACTAAAAGTTGTTATTTGCTTGCAATTATCTTTGGATAATCGAATTTATGATAGCAAAACGTTTTCATTTCGCTTAAAAAGTTTTCGAGATAAGGCGAAATAAGCAAAGAGTAAAATATATCAGTCGAACCCCGCTATAGTGAACCTTCAAGGGACCGAAATTTTGGTTCACTGTAACCGGGAGTTCACTACATCCGTTACACAGATAATTTAACTATAATGATTCCCAAACGGCTTCCTTTTATTACACTTTATTCAAATAAATTACTGAAAAATATTATGTAGTATCAAAAAATGTGTTATTTTTCAATACTCTTCGTCTTGCGTACAAAATAAAATTAGTAATCTTTAGCTGATGAGCAATCCTAAACATCAAATATGGAAACACTACCCGACACTCACATAATTTTTTCTGAATTTCTGTTATTCCTCTTTTTAAACCTGTCTAACCTTCCATTCGAACACATAAAGTAGTATAAAATCACTTAGCAAATTCATCGACATTTGTCCAGATACTGGAAGATTGCGGCTTCTTCGATTGGTGAACCACTTTAGTGATGCCTCTTTAGTGATCTGCTTTTCTCAAATTTTTTCTGCCATCTAAATTTTTTTCATGAGCAGAAATTATTAATTGCCTTCTTTACCATATGTTGCAAACTGCAGATTTCGATAGTTTATATTCCCTGCAAATATCAGCTTGATTGCATCCATTTTCGATTTTTCTAATTATGTCCATTTTATCATCAATGAAGAACGTTTTACGTTTACTGCTCGTCGTAGTTAAATTTGAGACACTTGTTTGCAGAATTTTTTTAACTGAACTGCGAGCAAAAAGGAGTTGAATTAAGGGCCATATCAACACACATTAGTGTTCAACCCTTTGACCAATATTGAATAATTACTCATTCCCTCTGACAAAAAATACATATTGATCCCACTGGCATCTTACGGGTGCATCATCTGCCTAGGTTGGAAACATCTGCTTGATTTGTTTGAGGATGGGAAAGTGAGATAAAAGAAGCAAACAAGAAAAATTGCTTATCGCTACCTTCCCCTCTATAGATGCTTTTAAAAATTAATATATGTATTTATTTTGAAGTAGAAATTACAAAATTATTATAAAAAAAATGGAAAAAAAAATCAGCCGAAGACAGAAAAAAGCTCATTATATCCAATTTCCTCACTATTTTGGTTCACTATATCCCTATATCCTCAAAAAATAACATTACACGTGTATAGCAAGGCACGGGACCGAGCATTTCGTTCACTATATCCGAGAGTTCACTATAGCGGAGTTTGACTGTATATATATATATATATATATATTCAATACGGTAAGAGATTACGAGATATGAATGGGTTTTTGTAAAAAATAAAATTTAATCATTAAATTATTTTATAGAGTAATTATTAATTTTAATTATTTTTCATCTTTTCTAAAACTAGTCATTTTTATTATTCAACTGTTGATTTTTCCCTTTGAACTATATTTAATTGAATTATTTGAAATTTCGAGATTAAAGGCAAATTAAATTTACTCTCTGTAGTCTCTATGTATCGTGCTTTGAAAAAAAAAAACATAGGAAAAGTAGTTCTAATCATCTTTTTAAACCATTAATTAAAGAAAAATTCAATAAAATACTTATTTAGAAAAATGTAAAGTGGTATTTACGCTATTTTCAATGAATTTTAGCATATATTTCTCTTAACTGTGTAATGAAATTTTTTGCGTAATATAAACTATGCAAATATGTTTGGAGAAAAAAATTGATGGTGATTTGGGAAAAAACTAAAGAAAAGTATAATTATTTTTAAGAACTAAAATGGAGAAGAAATAAGCGAAAAAAACACGTTGTTATTATACTTCTTAGATGTTCTTAGAAATTTGCTTTTTCCATGAAATTTCGAACATTAAAACCAAGAAAAATTTTGTGGTATTCGAATATATCGAAAAAAAGTAAAAGAAAACGTGTTTATGTAAAAAATTTATATTTATGTTTCTAATGTTGTTAAAATAATGTTTCTAATAAGTCAAAATAATTAGTTCGTATAACTTTAGAGCGATTCTCGATCTTGTGACTAAACACCTGGTCAGCAACCGGATCCAAGGATTGATGGGACGATGCAGGGTGCTCCTTGATAACCACCCTTAATGTATGATTTTTTAAAATTTTTGTTAAAAATTGAAGTAACAAACTGCATATTCTAGGTCACAAA